CTTACCAAAGAAGAAAAAGGTTGGGGTGAAACCGGTAAAGGTTGGCGACTTTTATGTGTCGAGGAACCTTTCAATACGTCGAGGAACCTTGGTAATAGTGCCGATGATACTAGCGTTCAGGGTTTAAGAGAGGAATTCCGTAGAGCTTTCAAGATTCTTTATGAAAAAGTTGACCTAGATTTATGTTGCGTGCAATATACATTCCCAAATAATTATCATTATAACGCCAACAACTGTTATTACAACTGTAACAATAACTACAACAATAACTATAACAATAATTACAACAATAACTATAACAATAACTACAACAATAACTACAACAATAACTACAACAATAACGCCAATTATACCAATGGTAATTACAACAACTATAGATCTAGGACAAGCGGAACATGTCAGTTCAGGCAAGGTGCTAAAAGATCAAATTATTTCAAGCACAATCAAAATTTTCGCTCTAATGGTTTTCACAGGCAACAAAATGTTGAAGTTGACACCAACGAAGATTATAAAGATGAAACAGATGATACTAATAAAGGCGAACAAAATTTTTCAGACATTTCTTCTCATCAGAGGAACGAACAATTGAATCAAGTTCCCATTTTTTCAGAAAATCATAACCCTTATTATCAACGAGGTTCAAATATTGAGGATACTCTAAATCAGAAACCTTGTTCCCCTGAGCCGAAGCATGACTCCGTATCAGAGATGAACTTAACATCTAGCACTAATAATCACCTTGAGATGCCGTCGTCTGTTCTAAGTCAAGATCATGCCATTGAATCTAGTGAGGTCACCGCATGCAGGTCCAATCAAAAGTCCGTTGCTGAGCTGAGTCAGATTGTCCGCCATAACTCGATGAATAACAAGATGGTACCTCATTCAAATCAGAAAATGGCGTATGCAACAAACCAAAAGCATATTGGTCAATCGAATAAGCAGCCATATAATCATTCAACGAACCATAAGTTCACAAATGGATCAAATCGACCTAATCGTAATTCTGATCAAAGGTTCGTTCGTGAGGCTAGACCAAATTTTTCCCACATTTCAAATTCAATTGTGGCACCTTCTACTTCTCAAAAAGAGTCAGCAGGCAGTCCTACACTCGATGGTCAACCCAACCAGGCTTCGAATGTCAAATCCGAACAAAATAATCATAAGCCTACGCATTTAAAATCTTCTCGGGCATGCACAAAATCTACCGACGAGAATAGTTGCAAGACCTACAGTTATAATGGAGTAAAAGTTGATGAGAATGGTGCTTCGGTCATTCCTTCGTATTCAACACCCGATATTAGTAACAACGACAACTCTGTCCCGATAATATTTGATTCGAATTTGTTGTGTTCTAACACGGTCAACAGATTCTTCCCTTCGGGAGC